AAAAAAAAAAACGAGGAACAGAGTGCTGTGGACGGTGGTATAAAATAAAAAATCTGGTAAGCAAAACGGTTAGCTGAAGATATTATGAATCATTAATTCCTAACCGTTTTTCAGCTTATTATAGGCTTTATATAGAACCACTGTTTCTGAAGGTATAGCGACTAATCTGTGTTAACCGCTGCAATTAAAGCACTCAAACATCTTTTTGACCGACAATTTGTAAATATTTTACAAATAACAATAATAATATTACCAATAATAAAAATAATGATGACGTTTCGTTTTAAATCATTTTTAGTCTTTTCTTTTTCTGCTTGTTTGAATGCATTTTCTTTATTTAAGCGATCAGAAGATTGATAAAGTCAAAGTTGAAATTCTTGTTAAATAGACGAGGATTTTTTCTAGTTCTTGTGTTTGCCCTATTCTTGTCAACATGTTTCAAATGTCGATTAATTTTTCACCAAAGCCTATATGTAATTTGGGATCTGTTAGTTCATTTGTAAATTGTAGATACATTTTTGATTCGTAGTCAACCTCTGAATTCATATCGCTTTTTTTTGAACAAAAAAAAACATTAAGTGAAAATAAAAGCATTTTTTATTTACATTGTCGGCATCTATACTACTTTCAGGATATGAGATAATTTTAATGTTTCTGAAGAAGAAATTTTTTCAAGTGAAGATAAGCAAACGAAAGAGGCAATTAATGTTGTTTTTTTTTTGTCAATATGTCTTATTTCAGAATGCAAAAACTTCAACGTTATTGTAACTGAAAACGGAAAAATTAGTGGTAAGGAAGTTTAAATTTAGCTTTCACATTCATTGTCCTATTTTCCAGCGATTCAAAAAAAAGCAGCAAAAAGATTTTTTTTTTTTAACGAGTGAGTCTCGCCACAATCTATGTATGTAGCATTTTTTGTTCTCGTAAATAAAGTTATCAATTGATTCTACCATTATTAAATAAGTTTTTTTTTGATGTTTAGCTGCTGATAAATTCGTTTTCTTTTTCATTAATACTGACATTTAAATAAATTTTGATTTTCTTCTTCAAGTTTCAAGAAGTAACAAATAAATAGACGATTTTTTTGTACTTATTGTCTAGCAGTGATTTTACTGATTGACAATGTGCAAGGCATATCTGTTAAACCTATTTGCTAGTTGAAACAAACCGAATAAATCTAAAAAAAAATTGTATTTTTCACCATTATCATTGGTAATTGCAGTCAACTGCCACTGAATTGACGAACAACCTACAAAGATAGACTGTGCTTTGTGCTCCGAGTGCTTTAGGTCCTAAATGTGAATTCTTGTTTACGAAACAGACACTGAATGTGGCTTCATTTTACGTTCCTTATCATATTCCGCTTCTTTTGTTTAGCTTTTTCCACCCAATTTGACATTCCAATACGTAAGTCTTCAGACTTTAACTGTTCTGCACTAAATCACTTTTATCTGATAGTAATTTCTTGAAAGGCAGTACTCGTTAAGTTGCTAATTATATTTGATACAACTGGTTTTTCTATTTATCTCAGCTTTGAGACTGTAATTCATTTATTCTCATTTATCGTGTAAAAAAAAGCAAGTCAATAATGTTAAACCTGACAAATAAATGAGATAGTAGTCTGCTAAAAGCCAACTAGAAACTTGAAACTGACTTTGAGATCAGAAAAAAAGTTTTTAGACGCTTATACATTCACTAAAGATGAAGATCAAGGAGTGCAGACTGCGTTGAAATACGGCGTTCAACTGCACAATGACAATAAGCAAAATCGTTTCAAAATTACTCTGAAAACTCACCCTTTGCGAGATTATACCTCAAACATATGGAATGTTTTTGAAGCTGGTTAGCTAAATTCAACTAATTTTTCATACTAACTTTTAATTTTTAAAAGACCTGTTGTAATCATTAAATGCTATTAACAATACTTTATATTTAGTCTGCGATGATTTAAGAAGAGGCTTTATGCTTATGCTATGTGGTAACAATGAAAGATCTTATGAGGGGTTCCTCAGTATTGCTGAGACTTTTCACATGCCGTTCGTCAACTGGGATTTGGCGTATAATAACAGAGAAGATAGATCATTTAACAAGTCAGTAAATGCATTTTATTGTTTTTCATTTTATAAGTACAAGAACTGGTATTCTATAAATGCAGTAAATGTTTTAGCTACGAAGTTAACCTGAAGCCGCCAAAAGCTGAACTTATTGCTGATCTTATAATAAAAAAGAACTGGTCTTCTATAGTTTACATGCATGACGAGAAAAATGGTTTGTTCTTTCACCTTCAAATGCTGCCAAATGCTCATTTCTGAGGCATTTCTTTTGAAAGCATTTTGTCTCTGCAAACAGTCAATAATTTTAGGTATAACTAAAGCACTTAGACAAGGTTTAGAAAAAGTCATATAAAAAAGTTTATTTAACAAGCAGTTTTTCTAACTTTTGACAAGAAATTTATTTTAAATAAATTTTTGAACTTTTAAAGGTGGAACAGTTCAGTGGATAAACTATTATTTACACAAAAAAACCAATGAATCTGTAAGTACAGAGATGATTGAACTACCGTTGGAAGTGGAGAATTTTCGGACGTTTCTCAGAACGTTTATTGTTAATCGAGCACACTCAAAAATGGATAAGTAAGAGAAATAAATGACTTTTTTACGGTTTATTTTTGCTAACCAAATCAAAAGCAATAGCATTTTTTTCCGCTTGTTTATCACTGACAGATTACACTATCAGTGACAATAACCGATATTATTTTTGAGATGTGTATTTATTGATACTTCATCGTCACTTCGTCAAGAACGCTTTTTGGAAGTCATTCGTACCATTGGCATCGAGCAGCTTCGGTTTCACTATGTTGTTGCAAACTACGTAATTCAGTTTTTTTAACATTTAATTCAAAATACTGTTTTATTTTTAACTTGAACAAATAAATTTATTTTATTTTTGTATCAGCAGATGTGCTTTTTTTGGCGTTAAAAAAGCAGACATTAGCTGTTGAAGAGAAAATTAAAATTGTATACTAGACAAAGATACACCGCTAAAGTTCAAACGCTCAAAGATATAGCATAGAAAGCATATAATTTTAAAAGGTGCATGACAGCTATTTATTTGATGTAAAATATGTGTGTAAAGTTTAAACCAACGATTTATTCTTTCATTCCTTTAAAAAGATGTTTCAAAAAGTTTTTTCCTAAAATTAATAAAGTTCTATTGCTTTACATTGTCATATTTTTTAAAAATCTAATGTTCTTATAGCATCATATAAGGTAAAAGATTTTAGGACTTTCAACCGGTGGACGTTGAACTGTTTCAGACCTCTAATATAAATATAACAGGTTTTCAAATCGTAAATCGAGATGCAAATGCAATTTTTAACCTAAAAAAGTATTTTCTAAATTTTCATGAGACGTCAACTGAGCTATGGCAAATACAAAATAAAGACAGCAGAGAATCTGTGCAGGTAAACTGTTATGCTTCAACAATTGTTGCAACAGTCTATTAAGTTGTCAATAAGACCAGTTCTACAGGCCAAAATAGGATTCGTCCACGACGCTATGCTTGTCGTTCGAGCAGCTTTTGAAACTGTGTTGCAGCAGAACAGTACTGTTTTTGCGCGTAATTTTCGTCACAAAAAAATGTACAATCGAGAACGCGAAGGCATCCAGTGCAGTACTGGCAATCAGACGCCGTTATTTACTTTTGAGCATGGGCAAAAAATAGCTCAAGCTTTGAGAAAAGTTGGTTTATAAAACATTTTGAATGGCACCGAATATTCCTTCAACGGTTTCATCTTAAACCTAATTGGCAGTATTTGAGGATTGTCTGTCTATACACTTGTTTTGTAAGCATGGTTTGTAGAGCAAGTGCAGTTTAAGTTTGGTAATGTTAAAAAGCTTAAAAATTTTGGCAAGTTTAGGTCGTACTTGATACCGAAAATGGAACCGTTACGGGACATATCGAATTTGACCGATTCGGTTTGAGAAAAAATTTTGACGTTACAGTTGTAGATTTAATGTCTAATTCGAGGTCTGTTTTTAACCAAAAAGAGGTAAGTAAATCACTAAAACTTAAATTAGATGTTCAAAGCTTTATGAAAGTTTTGCTACAGAAAAAATTCAAATAAAAGTGTGTAACACTTTGTTTTTTTTTTAAATGTTTTTGAAATCTGAAATTCTCAAGACAAGAAAAACTGACTGACTAATGTCAAACTCTTTGTCGCTAATCTTTACTATAACCCAGTTATTTAGTCACTAAACCAGATAAAAAATTTGGTACCAAAAGTTATCCCAAAAAATCGTTTCTTCTTTCTGCTTTAATGGTAATTTAATAAAAACAAAAACAAAAAATGAAAAAAGAGTTTTCACAGCATAAAACTTCTGTTTAAAGCCTTTTTAAGGAATAGTACATTGAGGCATAATTTTGAAAACAGTATTATTTGAAATGAGTCTCCTGTTTTTAAATTTAGACCACTTTATGGCGTCAAGGATTTGGCTTTATAGAAAACTCCACTCATGCCAAACACAGTAGAAAACCGATTGAAGTTCCCGCAACTGAGAAACCGATTCGAGTGATAACAATACTGGTCAATTTGTCTTCCGATCACTTTTTACGTGGTAATTTGCGCTAAGAAGTAAAATATTCAAAAAAGAATGAAGTAACACTTTTTTAGACTGATCCGTTCGTCATGTATAAAAAGGGATGCGAACCAGAAGCTCTGAACGTTTCCTCTGGAGGGTCGGGAACAGAACCGCCTGCTGAGTGTAAAGGCAATGATCGTTTCGAGGGATACTGTATGGATTTGCTGAAACTCCTAGCAGAAAGGTGTTGTAAAAGCACTGTTTATCTTCCAAGCTTTTATAGCCAACGTTTTGGCTTACTAATATTTTTTTATTCAGGATAGAAAATTTTGATTATGAGATAAAATTGAGCAAAGCTTTTGGTTCTAAGCAACCAGATGGAGACTACGACGGAGTTATAGGAGCACTAATTCATGGCGAAGCTGATGTTTGTGTCGCATCGCTCACTATAAACCAGGTAATTTCGACCTATTACGACACGGTGAGGATGGCTAAATAATTTTTCTTTGTACAGCTGAAGACAGATCAAAAACAGAGATGAATATAATTAAGTTGTAAAAAATTATATATTTTCTTTATAATTATGAATTTTTTGATATCTTTTCAACAGTGCACACTTAGATCTATCAAAATAAGATATTGCTTCATGTTCATACAAGTTGTAAAAAATTTGGATTTCTACTGGAAATACCGGCTAGCTCAAGCTTATAAAATTTTTAAAATTCCTTAGTAATTCTCAAATTCTAGCTTTTACTTTTGGCATTCTACTTTTTTCTAACGCACAATCTGCAAACCTTGGCAGTTAAAACTGGCTTTATTATGCTAAACAGAGCTTTTGACTCGAAAAAGTACAATGAAGGCTGTGAGATTCGCCACCAAGAATAAGATCACAATACTACAGAAGTAGAATGATTTTAATATATATAGCGTATGTTCAAAACAAAGAGCCAAAAAGTGTTTGGTTTTTTTTTAATGAGACAGACTGCAGTGAGCCTTTTTTTAGCTGAAAAGCAAGATTTGATCTGGAAATTGAACTGAATTTGCTCAAATTTATATTCCACAAGGAGACAGTACGAATTTTAATACGTTACTTTTAATTTTTCTGTTCAAAAAAATTGCAGGAGCGAGAACGAGTTGTCGCTTTTTCCAAGCCTTTTATGACGACTGGCATTAGTATAATGATTAAGAAACCAGATAAACAAGAATTTTCAGTTTTTTCTTTTATGCAGCCTCTTAGTACAGAAATTTGGATGTACATTATATTCGCGTATGTGGGAGTAAGTACAATCACTCATTATCAGTTCCTAAATGTTTCTGAACAGGAAACTACAGAATCTTTTTGTAAACAGTAGCAAATTGAGACCAAAACTGGCAGATTATATTTTATATTCTTTTCAGTTTGTAAAACACTTTGTTGAAGGTATCTGTTGTAATATTTCTTGTCTCCCGTTTTTCACCATACGAGTGGCGCATTGAGGAAATGCCGAGTGGTAGAGGTTTTACAATTTCGAACGACTTTTCTGTTTATAATTGTCTTTGGTTTACACTAGCAGCTTTTATGCAACAAGGCACAGATATCCTACCACGGTAACAGTTATATCTACCACTTTATAAAGCTCTTTATAGACTTTATTCCTGGCAGCAGGAAGTCTTAATGATATTTACTTTAGATCAATAAGCGGTAGAATTGCTAGTAGCGCGTGGTGGTTTTTCACAATGATCATCGTATCGTCTTACACTGCTAACTTAGCAGCTTTTCTGACATTAGAAAAAATGCAAGCACCAATTGAATCAGTAGAAGATCTAGCAAAACAAACTAAAATCAAATATGGCATCCAGCAGGGTGGTTCAACTGCACAATTTTTCAAGGTTCTCAGTTAGATTTGACTAATTTCTAAAAAAATCAATTCTAAAAAATTTCTTTCAGGGCTCATCGGTACAGATGTATCAGCGGATGTGGCGTTTTATGGAATCTCAGGTTAATTTTCTGTTAATCTACTTTCTGCCTTCAAAACTAATTAAAGTGTAGAAGAATGGTAACTGCATCATAGAAATAAACAGCTTTTTTAGGTTCCAAGCGTATTTACAAAATCATATGAAGAAGGTATAGAACGAGTAAGAAAGCATAAAGGAAGGTACGCATTTCTTCTGGAAGCTACTGCTAATGAATATCACAACACTCGAAAACCTTGTGATACAATGAAAGTCGGTTAGTCAACTCTCAATCATGTTTGATTTCCAAGAGATAAATTATGCTTGCTTATTATAAGTCGGCACTTTGCTGTTCGCACAGAATTTAAAAAAAAAAAAACATGGTGTTTGAAAAAAGAGAGCTCATTTAAACTACCAAAAATGAACAAAGCGTAGCAAATGAGACTACTTAGATAAAGAGGTTTTCTTTAATAAAATTTTGACAGCTGATATGTTAGAAGTTGTTGCTTGGTATCTGAACTCCACCGTATTCAATATTTTAATGTAAAGAAAGAACTCCAAATATGATACAAAAAATTTCAACAGTATCATCGTTTTTTTCTTTATATAAAAAGTTCAAGTTCTTTCTCCACCTCTTACATGCTCCTTCCTGTATTGTGTGCCCTATTAGGAGAACTGGTACGCTTACTAAATTTAAAGCATATATCAATAAAGAAAAAGTAAAAATGCTAAAGATTTGTTGTTGCAGGTTAATAAGAAATAAAACCTAGTAATTAGGTATATCAAAAATCCAGAGAAAAAGTTATGCAGAAAATTATTTGAGAAACTAAAAAAATTGTTTAGCAAGATAAAAGCATTAGAGATATAGAATGCACTTACGATAATGCGTAACTGCTCGCTGAACTGTTCGAACACTGCTTTTTTATATTGTTTGATTGACGCATACAACGAGTACTGAATAAGCACTTCCAAAATCTTATGTTTTAGACATGCTTAGTTAACCTAACCAAATAAAAAAAGTTTGACCTATTGAATACCACAGTGTTTGGCATATCTTTAAGTCTTCTTCGTCACTCCTTCCACTTCACTCTCTGTAAATATATAAAAGATTTTCAAATAATCAGACCTCTGACCACAAATTCTTTATTGAATCTATAAGCAACGATTTTAACACATGTATCTTGTAACGTTCGAAAACAGAATAATGTCAATCACTCATCTTTTGCTTAAAAAAATCTGAACTGCATTTAATTTCTGGAAATACATTTAAGTTGTTGACTTTGTCGAACTGTTAGACTACTTTTCAGTTGAATTATTCTTCATTATAAAAAACTTTTAAAATTATTTCTAGCAGAAATTTTCTGGTTCACGAATGAATACAAAATCTTACCTGAAAATTTCCAAGTTTTTTTGTGCAGCGAGGCAACTGTTCTCTGCAAAATGCATATCTCTTTCAAATTTTAAAATCTTTAGCGTTAAGCAAAAATAGATTTTTCTATGAAAACATAGGTGGAAAGTTGTTTTTGTGTACAAAAGTAATTTTCACTGACAAAGAGGATTACTTTTGAAATGTGTAATGCATTAATAAAGTTAAGGTGAAATTCTTAAATGTAATGTTATCAGTGTAAAAGAGGCAATTTTAAATCAGATATTAATAAAGTCGATTGAAGGCACTACTGTAATGCTAGCAAATTTTTTCCGAGATTGATGCAAACAGACCGTTACTTTAAATTTTTTTATCACTTGGTTTAAAACTGCGCAGCTGGCCACGCTAAATAACTGTCAGAACTGAGCGTCGACTATTTATCCGAACCAAAATTAGTGCAAAATTTCTTCAGAATCGCTAAGGTGCAGATAATAAACAACTCATAATTTTTAGGTGCAAACTTGAATTCGATTGGTTATGGGGTAGCTACTAGCGTCAACTCTCCATACAAGTAAGTTTCAAGATTTTTAACTTACAACAAAACTAGCTCTGCTAACTTTCTGAATTTTTTTTTCAAAAACAGTCAACTTTTAATCGTATTATGCAGGCTTTCAAAAACCAAATATTGCACGTAAAGCAACTTTTCACCAGTATATTTTTGTTACTTTGAGGAAATTCTACCATCTTTTTATTTTAACAATTACTTTTCATCACTTAATCACTTTCCTCTGTTTAGCTTACAGCGATAATTGATTTTGAAACCTTATAGAGATCAAATAAATTTGGCCATATTGGCACTACAAGAAAGAGGTGAACTGAAAAAGCTGGAAAATAAATGGTGGTATGATAAAGGCCAATGCGACCAAGGAATAAATGTTGTAAGTAATGAGCAACTTAATCGGGAATAGAAAACGAATTTTAGGTTTCTGTATGTTTTAAAAGTAGTACGAATTAAACATTTGCGAAATCCCTTTTAACAAAAAAATTGTTCAATCTTGTGCTGTCACTTTATTGATAGCTGTTTTTTACAACTGTTTTAAGGATGGTCATAATGCTAGTTTGAATCTGAGTAAAGTAGCTGGAATATTTTACATATTAATGGGCGGGATGATTGCTTCTATGCTAGCTGCATTGATAGAATTCCTCTATCGGTCACATATTGAAGCTCGAAAGAATGATTCTGGCTTTGTTGTCGGCAGTATTGCGGTGAGTAACGTTCAAAAATTTTTCTGTATTATTTGTCAGCTGTGTAACAGTATGAAAAGGAACAGCTGTATAGAGCTTTCAAGTGTTTGGTTCTTCTGAAAAATGATTTCCATTCTTCAAGATGAACAGCTAAATTATCTGCAGAAAAAGTTGCGTGACTCTTTGTATGCACAACTTCGATTGTCACTGCAAGGCGGTACAACGGCACCACAGGGTACCCAAGCATATAACATTATAAAACAACAACGGGTAAGTATAGTAAAAGATCTAATTTCATTTTTTTTTGTCTCTAAAATGTCAGAAAAATTCCTGTTATCAATGTAATTGTAACTTGGGGTTCTTCTTGAATTAAAGAGGAGAAATTTTACACATTTCAGGAGCATGCAAGGTTTTCAATTGTTAAAGCTCCCGAACAAACGAGTGTAAAGGACAAAGAAAAATTGAGTTCTTACAATTTTCTGGACAATCGGTACGATACTGTGGTCTGACTGAAAGTTTATTAGAAAGGTTGGACGAAAGTGGTGAGTGCGATAAAAAATTAAATAGATACAACGTTTATATAGAGTTTATTGTTGAAAAAGATTTTTTAAAATTTTTTTATCTAAATACATTTTTGTGTGTTATGCTTTGCTCATGTTTTCTAGAAGTGTACTGCTGTCTTTCATATGCTAATTACTTATATCGCATTCCAAAATAGTAGTGACACACAGAAGAAGTCTTATCATTTTTTGTGGGACATGGTGACTATGGTCACAGTATTTAATGAATGAAGTCAACTTTAAACTTATTTAAATGTTCTCAAAAGTTTCTCGGTATTATGCTAGAAATAATCATTTTTTCTCTTTCGTTTGGCAGTATAAGAAATTGAAATGTTAAGAATGGGTTTCTTTAAGCAATAGTAAAAATATCTGTTATTAAATCAACAATAGCAAGTGAATGATTACGTTTTGATCAGTTCAGTCTTACCAGTAGAGCAACTTATTAAATTTTTTAGAAATGTTCTTTGTCCACTCAAGTGATTTTATGAATTATTGTCATTTCTCATTGCCTTATCGCTCAGTGACTGAGGTTTGTGATAAAAAAAATATTCCACAAGTTAGTGACTACTTGCAACATATACTAAGGCTATATAACAATTTAGCTAATCAGTAACTTTAATTTCTAAAACAGAGATTATAAACTGTTTTATTTTGTAACATTTACTGAGCGCCAACAATTGCACAGCAATTATTTTTTATTGAAATATTCTATTAACACCTGACGAATTGAACACAGCAAACACAACGGACAACTTTGTGGTTGTGTCGTTGTAGTAGCAAAAGCATGATAAAGACATGTTTACTGAACAAAACTGTCAGAGATTTTAATGCATATATCTGAACAAAACCAGGAGTCAGGTTTGCTAATGATAAGTTTAGGTCGTGATTACTTTACATCAAACAGCAATCGGCATATCATGATGAAGAATTGTCTAAACAAGCATTCGAACAGAAGGCGGCAAAACCGTTCTAATTAACAAGGAAACAGTCAATATCGTGTTTCTTTAACGCTGTAACTAGTCAACTTTCCGTTGACGGTGGTTTTCGAAGTAAAACTATGTTGCTTATTGTCCCCGCAACAAATTGTACGACGTAAAAGTGCTAGAGCAGTTTCCCAAAGTGGTTTAACAAAAACTA